TGTAGGACGCACTCCAAGCATCGTGGGCAGTGAGAAGGTCCATACGGTAGGCACCAAAATTCATACAGAGTGGGATTCTCGTCGAACGGGGTTATGTTGACAGTATATAGAGAACGATTACTAGGGAGCACCCAGAGATGCATATATGCATCTCGAACATCATTAACCACCAACCGCTTGAAGCATCGAGCCTTTTCAATGAGCACTGCTATCAGACTCTGAGAAAACGGTGATTTCCGGCCAAAAGCTCGCCGCAGATGCCGGTTCAAGTGGAGGAAGGTGAACACGGGTCTATAACGCCTCGAGTCTCCACCGACAATATACCAGTTTGTGGTTGAAGATAAAGCTCTCAACTCAGCTGGTCGTAGTCGGCCTTCCTCTATCCACTGATCGAAACATCTTTTTGCGGCCTCACGAGCTGCCGAGTCGGCCTTTTTGAGAGCTGGATGTGGTCTCAAACCTCCTAGCTGCTCAGCTCGACTAGGCCACTTCACCAGAGTTGGATTGATACCCACGTAGAGCCGAAACTTAGAGTCGACAGCAGTGTCACCATCAGGCTTGGCAGACACAATATATATATCATTGTTATCTAGAACCACCTCATCCACTGACCAACCATCTGGTAGAGCCTTCCAAGTATCTTGTTCAACCTGTTGGACATTAGCTGTAGCTACCACCGGGTACAGTGTCGACAGCTTCGGTTTGGCGTTAAAGCTGATAGTGAGCTTACTTGCTGTCAACACGTCTCTGCCAAGGATAACCGGATAGATGAGACTAGACGAAGCTATGTAGAACTTCTGCTTGACCGTGGTATCTCCAATTTGGATCGATAGTATCACTGATCCGATAGTCGAGAGGGACCCTTTAGTCGCTGTTGTGCATCTCGGAGAATCTGACCTATCAACTTCAATGCTCACTGGTAAACTTGCCAGCGTGGGTACATCAATGAGGGATACGCTCGATCCACTATCGATGAGACCTACGGCTTTGATCACCGAGTGAGATATATGAAATTTGACCTCTACCGTGCAGGAGTCGGAAATAGGTCTTGAAGGACAACCGGTTGATTGGATAGATACGGCTTGAATAGTGGGCCTACATGACTGTGTAGCCGAAGCGCAGTCACGGCCTTCTAGTTTTTTGAGGCCTGTTGACGCTTCAACTGTAGGGCTCGAGCTTTGGTTCGACATTGATCTTCAGTATGATTCTTCTTCAGACAGTAGGTACAGAATACCGAAGGTCGATCTATATTAGCTCTGTCAGATGGGGGGCCTTCTTGATATCGTAACTTCTTCCTCGGAATAGCATCACCTTTGTCACGCATCTTTTTGAAGCAGTCAGTTTCCACATGACCGGGTCTTCCACAATAATCGCACCTCCTAGTTGCCTCCCGAATGGCATTCACCAGGTGAGGTACCCAAGACGGTGTAGGATCAACCTGTGTAGTAGAAGTCGGTGGAACCGTTTCCGCTTGAAAAGCCGAATAGTTGACAGAGTCACCGTCCGCAATTGAACCACCTCCCTCATATGCGCCTATAGGAGAGCTCATTGTCTGCTCTTCTACTGGTCGTAGGGCCGATACTTCTCCAGCAACTTCATGTACCGCCTCAGGGAAGGGGTCAGAGAGTATAAACTGAGCCTTCTCCAGAGCAGCTTGCAACGTTTTAGGGTTGGCATTTCTCACCTTTCTAGCTAAGGCGGATGAGTGCCCTCGTAACCCACGTATAAAAGCTGTCAGAATTACCGGCTTGAGCTGATCAGAAGACATATCTGGATATGCTCTATGAGCAAGCCTTTTTATGTCATTCTGATAGGTCAATAGGGTCTCAGTACCAGTATCAAGTACTCGTCGATAAAGCTCTTCACTACTCTGCATTTGCGAGGCTACGTTCAGCTTCTTAGTCAGATTAGTAGTTAAATGGGGCATAGTATCCTTCTCACCAGGAGCCAACTCATCGTATAATATCCAAGCGTCTCCTCTCAATAAGGGGGGTAGATGACGTAGTTGAGCGTTCTCATCCCACTCATTAGCTGTCGCACAGGCCTTGAACTTGTGAACCCACTGTTCAAAATCGAGCACGCTGGTGAGGGGGTCAAAACTCTCTGGGAGAGCAAAGTAAAGACTCGGATCCATCTTCTTGAACAAGGAGCTGCTACTGCACTATTCTACTCAACGACTAGAGCAGAATGGGATAGATAGAAAAGGCAGATATATACAGATGAGTTAGAAGCGATACATTAGCTAAGGGACAAGGCTATGTAGCTATTTACTGAAGATTGTGTATTGGGACAGTGCACTATGCAGAATAAGGAAATGGGAGCGAAATACATTTGAATTGGAAATGCATATACTTGATTTTCCCGTTGATCGGTCTCCACTCATGGAGTGGTAGAGTAAAAGCTCATACAGGAGTTTCGGGACGGCCATCAGGGTTGGCCAAGTTGATAGGGATCATCAGATGCCCTCAGGAGTTCCCTTTAAACCCTTTCACTGTTTCCGTTCTGAGTCTTGGTGCATAAACAATCGGATTAAACGAACCTCGGCATTCAATGATCAGACAAACTCGAGGCAGGACGATAAACGATCTCGTCGGCCCTACTTGATGGAAGCAGTGGAAGATTCGCAGACTGCCTTGGATGCTGTAGATAAGAAAAGTTCTTGCGAGCTCAGTCGAGCAACCCGAGTGTTCATGGTCTCGTTTCCGCCACTTGATTAAGGTACAACGAGAATATAATTCTCAGAAGCGGCCGT